TTTCCCTACCAAATGCCCCATGCAAGTTACCGCAGGAGCGAGTGCTCCTATGGGACAGCTTTCATCAGAAAGAGGAACGAGAGGGAAAGGCAGAGGGTTAAATGCGTCAATGAAGGCTATGCTAAACTGAGGCATCACCTACCCAAGGAATACTTGGAGAAACGGCTCAGCAAGGTAGAGACGCTCCGTGCTGCTATAAAATACATCAGCTACCTGCAGTCCATTCTGTACAGTGATTCTGTGGTGGCAGAAAAAAGTGTCATGGAGCCAAGCCAAGCACCTAAAGCAGTTAACAAACAAAACCAGTTTTCGAAGACTATCTGAACCATTCCAAACCAAGCAAAAGGTTTCCTGTCTGGGAACCTACTGTATTATTAATGATGTGCATTTTCCAGGCGTATCTGACAAGCAGATCGTAGTGTGAGTCAGTATAGGCCCACACAAAAGAATTTTAATGTTGCAGATAGTAACTACACTTAGATATGAAAAAGACAACAGGAGAAATCTCATCCGAATGGCCTAAGTTAGTTAATTCATAGAAATCATGACGCAGTTTTAAAATTGTTGCCAAACCAAAAATGTACTAACCTATATGTGCGAAGTAACTGTATGTGTCAGGCCTAAGTTAGTTAATTCATAGAAATCATGAAGCAGTTTTAAAATTGTCGCCAAACCAAAAATGTACTAACCTATACGTGTGAAGTAACTGTATGTGTCGTCACAACCTGCATGCTTTGAAATAAAACCTTTCCACTGATGGGACTGAGATTCCTCTTGTTTTCTGCAATGTGCCTGTTTTAATCTCACAAGTACTTTCTTAGAAGATTTTTGGCCTAATTGCCAGTGTTTCTCTTGAAGGTCTTCTTAAAGGTTCCCAGGGATGTTGTTAGGTGCCAACAGAAAGGATAACTTGGTTTAAAAGGGGGAAAATAAAAAGAGGGTAGCAGGTTTCTGAAACACGTTACTGAACGTACAAAGAGCATAATTAATGTCTCGCAAGTGCTGTTCTTTTTTTATTAATGAATGCTTTAATTCCATTAAGAACTGTTGATTTAGCCCAATTTCTATTGAAAATTGGATATTTCTTCAGCTCTTACAGTCCTTAAGTATTATTAGGACTACTCACACAATACACAGTATAAAGAGAATTGGCAAGGGAGTATTGCCTTGGACAGGGTGTGTGTGTGGGAATAATCCTGCAACTGGAAATTTTTGGGACTTCTACTGGTAATGGTTGAGGTCTGGGGTGGTCTTCCCTGACCAGCCAGGCTGTTTCCCTGTACTACTGATGGCTTTGGCTAACAGAACAGATAGAGAACAGATCTGTGTGAAAAGAGTTTAGCTCTTAACTGATAAAGTGTTCTTAATGTTTGTTGTATGTAAGGGTATTTTGTTACTGATGGTCTGCAGAATGTAGAGAAGATGGTTACAGGCTTCCCAAGTGCTGTATCCTTGTCCCTAATTGCAGTCACCCCCTCTGTTATCTTGTTTTCATAGCAAAAATGAAATCAAGTATCCCTTCCCTCCCTCCCCACCCCCCCCAAAAAAAAGTTAACGTTTATTGAGGAGAAAATGAAGATCAGGGGTCACAGCAGAGATTAACAGGTAAATTTTGGCATTGTAGATTTCTGACATGTTTTTGATACGCACTTTGCAGGAAGTGTAGGATTCATTAATCCTTCCCCTTTATTGCAAAAAGGAAAAGTCTGTAAGGTAATCTGACCTTGGTTGGTCTCAGCTTTAACCTTTCTTAAACTAATTTATTTGTCACACCCCGTGGTGGTGGGCTGCTTTTTCCTATATCTAAACTGCAGCTTCGAGTGGTGCTGTTATTTGCCCTGCAATAGTTGGCAGAAAACCTGGAGGACATTGCACCCTCTTATAATCCCTTGCCTGCCCCTGCAGCCTTTCAGTGCAATATCTAGATCAATGGGGAGTTGAAAATGGTGCAGGGAAATGTTCCTTTCAGTAGTCGTGTTGCAGCGGTTTGTAACCGGCAAGGTCAGGGTGTCCAATCCCTGTAGTTACAACTGTGGCAACCTCCATAGCAACTAGGAAACACGGGCAGGAAACTGCTTCCTGCATCCAACGGGCAAAAGGGCAAGATTTCTGCACTGGGACTAAATCCAGATCGACCAGACACAGTGTTATCAATAGCTGGTAAGTTTGAAACGCTGCTGTGTTAAAGTTCTTGTAATTATCCAGGAAAAAAACCCTCCTAAAGTGTTGCACAATTGCGTTTGTCAGTGCCCTATTTTATACAGAAATAGGGGACCTGCTCTCAGCAGTAACAGTGCTGAAAGTGTTTAAAATGTGCTTTAATGTAGAATGGATAGTTGCATTTCTTTGTAAAGTATTACTGATTCCATCTTGGGTTGTAATGAGTGAGTTTGTGTAGTTGTGAAATAAGTGATTTGCTGACTTAAAGATGCATTTTGCAGCAGTTAATCCACTCTTCTTGCTGGGTTTGGCATGCTAGTTTGATGAAATTACGTATATCTGGGAGTCCTCATACAAAGGATTCACAGATCATTTATCTAGGAGGCAGAATAATATTTAAACGTAACATGAGTGCTTAAACTGTGTTTTGTAAATTAGGTACTTACATTTTATGTTGTTTAATTTCCGTGCAATTTTTACTCTGAGCATGCTAAACACTTCTAAGGTATATTAAAAAGTAAAAATGGAAGCTTGTCTATCTACGACATCTTGTCAGGTTACCAGAGAGAGCATCACATCATCAGTCTTACTGTGACAGCCTCTGAATAGTTATCACTTGTCAAATCTGAGCACCTCATTCTTCCTCATGGCAGGCCATAATCCTACTGTTATAAAATGTGACAGGACAGCTGAAAGAGCAAAATATTTCCTCTTAATTCGTCACTATAAATAGAACAAGTAACAGGCAACTGTAATCTGACATCACGTTCAAAAACTGTCATGTTCACTCAGCCTGTTGACTTCAGCTGTAGTTTCTGCCTGAGCTTGTAAAATAGGGAAGGTTTGTCTGGAACCCTGTATAAGAAAGCTTTAAAGGAGAGCGTAGCTATAGGAGACCTGGATGTTAAAGAGGGAAGCAAAAGTAGGAGGGAGCTAAAAGCTATTGCTTTCCTGAGGATTTCACAACATTTCTAGTTTCCTTGGGTGTTTCTGTCCCTCTACCAGGTCAGGATTTGGGAGCCTGAAGATTACTGAGATCAGTAGTATGGGTTCATCTGACCAAATGCCAGTCTGGATATTTTGAATTAATTATTTTAAAATAAAAATAAGCAATTACTAAAAGCTACCGTGTTCTTGAGGTACACCAGAAGGCATCTGCTCATGTTATAAAATGACAGTACAACCCTACTATTCTATGATTCTATAATTGTCTCCTTATTACCAACAGATCAGGACTGAGTCCTGCGAGCAGCTGCTTTTGCAAGAATGGCTGGTTTGGAAGCATCCCTGCCAACAGGTCACAGGTACTGCAGTGCGATGCCAGCTCTGGACAAGTCCTTGTGCTCCAGTGTTGTGCCTATTGGCAGCCGCTGCTGCAGGAGCTCCTCTGTAGTGCATCCCACCCGGATCGCTGAGCCCCTCACCCCCCGGAGGTAAAATAAAGTTCTTGTTGGAATCTGTGATTTGTTCTTTTTCATGATATCTAATAGTATAAAACAGGCTGGTGTGTCAGATGAATAAATTAACAACTTCAATGTCATTTGAGCTTTCCCCTCCCCTGCACTGGCAGTGTTTTAGATGGTATTAACTAAAGTGATTTGCTGCCCTGGAGATTACAAAAAGTGAAGCCTGAGAAAACCTCCTGTCAAAGGAACATTCCTTTAATATTATTTGGATAAATAGAAGCATCTTGTATTAGCAGATGTCTTTTGTAAAATGTTTCTAATGCTTTGTGACAGGGGATTAGTTTTCCTGTTGTGAACTTAAACCTGTCATCAACCAGAAGCTTCATTGTTTACTTTTCTACTTTTCTGTTGTTCCCCAAATGCCTCAGTGTAAACCATCAGCCACCACGCTCTTGAGCACACCTAGCTGTGCCCTGTGCTGGAGGTGGCTCCTTTCTCCTGATCTTCAGGGTTTCGCTGGCTGCCATGTAAAGAGCAAAGGGGCTAGGGCAGGTAGTACTGGCCCAGGATTCCAGCTTACTTCCTCTAAACCCCAAACCAAAGAAATCTGCGTAAAAACAAGCACTGATGATTTTTTCCCAAGAGCAAGGAATTGTCCCAGAACAAGCAAGTTTTCTGTTTCTTCCCACGTGCTTTGGCCTGTGGGAGTGTTACAGAAGGCGGTGGAGTGATCCAGTTCTTAAATTTTACAAGATTTTCTTTCCCCCCCGCCTTGACCTACAGAAGCTGTTTCTCAAAGTGTTGACCCATTTTATTTTCTTCAAGGTGCCAATGGATTACCCACTACACCCCCTCCCCTGACCCAGCACGGAGGAGGCTGAGTGCATCAGGGAGATCGGTGGCTTTAGACAGCAACATCCCTGTGTTGGTGAGAGGGGAACAAGACGGATTTTACTACCATGGTACCGTAAAAGAGGAGTTAGAGGTGAGTGATGGTTGCTGTGCCGTAGTCGTGGGTGTTTGTAATAGGGTGGCCTGGCCACTTGAGTTTAGTGTATCAGTTTTGATTTCAGCTGGTGCATGAATTAGAGAACAGATCACCAGAACAGCTGATGCTCGTGGTTATGCTGATTCATTAAGCTTCCAATGTGCCTGATTCCAGGCTGCCTTCTCCTCCTGCTGCCTGGCATGCTGGGTGAGCCTCTCGCATGAAGCACAGCCTCAGACACTAATAGCGATCAGGACCTTGCTCTTCTCAGCTTCCTTTTCTGAGTCCATTTCTAGGAGTGAGCAGGTGTGTTTTGGGGATCCTTATCTTGTGCAGAAGATGGGTGCCCCCCGAACTCCCAGTTCCTGGTGAGAGCAGTGGTGTTGTGCACCTCGCAAGCGCAGGCCCCCTGCCAAGCTCAGGCAGCGTCAGTGCTGTTGTGAGCAGCGTACCGCCCGCTGTTGTGTGTAGACACATAACCAACAATAGCACAGGAAAAGCATTAGTGTTTTATGTACACACTTCCAGCTTGAGGCGGCTACAGACCAATGGCTCCGTGTCTTTCCAGAAATGTTAGTGAAAGCTTTAATTTGTTAGTTTGTTAGCACTTCAAACTTGAACGGAAAAAAGAGCCTATTCTTCCCCAGGAACAGGGAAGTTCATTGTTTCGTTGTTGATGGAAAGCCTCTTGACAGGTCTTAATTTAAAAGAAAACAAAAATTCCCAACAGCCCCCCCGGAAGCAGAGTCAGTGTTGTATGTAATGAGGAAGGGCATGACTGAAGAACGGGTCTGAACGGCTTCGCTGTCCCTTGTTACCGGGAGCAGACAGCATGGTTTGTGAAAGCCAGTTGCACTCTACCTATAGCTTTTTCTCTTGGGGATGAAAATACAGATCCTAGTGGCAGTGAATCTATACATATGATTCACACAGCCTGCTGTCTGGTGAGCCTCATGGAGGCTTTCTGACTGTCTCAGTGCTGGACTAACCTCACACTATTTAGTTACTGTTTGGGCTTGTTTTGACCTAGCCACGTAGCCACCAAATGTCCTCCTGGTGAAGGTTACATGACCTGACACATTATGGACTGTTCTTCAGAGAAGCTATTATTTTGTTCCTGGTAACAGAATGAAAGAGGCGTGTTCCTGGTAGAGTTGGCCAAACCACTTGTGTCACGTGGAAGGCATCCAGTGTGTGTACAAAAAACAGCAAAGGATGACATAATAGAATACGTGAACGGGATGAAGCACTCCTTACTCCCTGGAGACAAAGTGCTGGCCCCCTGGGAGCCAAATACGGCCAGGTATGGCCCTGGAACTGTCCTCATGGGCATTGAGACAAGGGACCCCTTACGAGGTAAGAAAGGTGCTGCCCTCTTCTTCCTTGCCTTGCTCTGGAGCGTAAGTGAGGCTGTCAGGGTAAACTCTTGTCACTGTGCTACTGCCAGAGAATAACTAGTGCACAGACTACAGTTTAGTGTTACTTAAAGCTTGCAGGAGCTAATGGGACTTGCTGATGGATATCTGTGTAACCTCACCAGTCTGACCCTAAGGAAGTTGTGACCCATATATGACCCATAAAAATATCATCTTCATTGTTTGTGCTATTTCCTGTCTGCATGGACAAGTCTGTGTCTGCCATGTGAAGGACAGTGGCCTTCTCGTGAGTAGTGAGACAGCTCTTGGGAAGCACCTATCTGTGCTTGAATGCTCACATTTGTACTGGTACATCTGGGGTGATTTTATCACCCAAATGTAGGAGATTTTAACAGCTCATTCATTTTTCCTATGTCTGACAGTTAAGCTCCGCTGACTTACCAAAATACTATTCTTGGAGCATTACTGCTAACTTTGGCAATAACAATAAAAGTTACTCAGTCAACATTTTCTTATTCATCTGATGACAAATTGAAAGGAAAGATACTGCCAGGCCTGTTGTCGCACCGATGGTGCTGCAGCTGCCTGCTACCATGACTTTATGGTGAAGCATCACAGAGAGGTAGTTGATCCTACCGCTTGACAGGAGTGGGAAGTGCATAAAGCTGCAAAGCCTGAGCTGTGTGTGGGCACTACCCAGGCAGGCTGCCCACTTAATGGCTGCTTACCTTTTTTCTCAATAGCCTCAGAAGATGAAGAAATTATGGTCCACTTCTGGAATGACAAGAAAGTCAAACTCCCGCAAGGTGTGGCTCTGTGGATCCCTCCTAGCCTGTGGGAAAGGATTGTAGAGATGATCCACATGCCCTTCACCAGCAGGGTGAAGTCCAGAGGAATTCCAGACACCAACTGTTGTATTTTTTCCTACAGCCCTAAAACAGCCCCGATTCCCGTTTGCGCTGTACATAGCCTCGCCAAGCACTGCTTGCTCTGCTTACCCTGCTGGCCATGTTTCCACTGTCACTGTGGTTGTATAAGGTGTTTGTCAGCATATGTAAGGTGCATCTGCTGCTGCCATCCCCGTGTGAGTGCCTGGTGGCCTCTTCCCTCCAGGCGTCTGGTATTTCAAAGCGAGACAGAAGAGGTAGATTCCAGCAGTGAGCCCCCTCCATGCCTTCTAGAACCAAAAAGCCCCAAACCAGAAGCAGCAGCAGCTGTGGCACCATCTTCTCCCTCTTCTGATTCAGAGTGGGACCTGGAGCCATTCCCCACTAAGAGTACCGTGGTGGACAGTGCTGTTAACACAGGCTCCAGTTGTCTGGAGAAGCCAAGGCTAAAGGATTCTGCAAGACCTGAGTGGAAATACCGGAAAAGAAGCCACCACAAGTCCCATCCCAGTAATTCAGGTACCTTTTAACACCCCCACAGGCAAGCAGCAGTCAGAGAGGAAAAAAAAAAACCCAAAATGTGTTCTGGTCTTCTGAGCAGTCACTTAGCCTGTAGTTTATTGGTGTGAATGCTGTAAATTTTTCAGTCTCTAACACAGTAATTCCCTCTCCTCAACATTTCTGCTGCCTCATCTTGCATGCTGGCTCTCCTTTTAGCATATAATCCAATGGAAACCTACCAGAACATGAATTTCGGTTAGAAGCATAGATATCCCTCTCAGAGTTTGTTCCCCATCATTTCCCCCCACTTCGTATGATGCTAACATCTCCATTAACCTTTGCTAGTCCATGCAGAATAACCGGAAATAATTCCTTTTAAGCTTAAAGTGCATTTGCCTTGCTTCTGAAATGAATGTTTCTCCATTTCAGTTCTGGTTTCACTCTCAGATACAATTTTACTCCTTCCCAGGACTCGTCAATCGCAGCAGCACATGTACGAAGGGCAAGCTGGAACCCAAAGCCATCTCTACTGGGGACACATTCAGTGTTGCCTCCACTAATCACGGTGCAATGTTCAAAACCATCGAGCAGCCTCCCAGAGGGCAACTCACGATGAAAGGAATCTTACGAGACCAAGATTTCAAGCTGTCATTGGGGGTAAGATAATCTGTATTAATACTGTATTTGTGTAAACACATGGTTTGTTTGAATGGAAGAAATATTCTTGTTAATGGTCTGAAAGTGGGCTAGAAAAATACATTGTTTTTAACAGCTTGCTAAGGCCATCCACCAGTTTTGTGATAGGCATGACACTAATGGAAACAAAAGAAAAGTCCCAAAACACTAAGGAAGGGCTGAAGCTACTTGGTAAAATGCAAAAGATTATTCTGGTAACTGTGAGAGCATTCAACAATGCAGATTTCAGTTCAGAAACCTGCCAATTGGCACCAACCCAATGAAGTCCTGTGGAAGCAGGGATCTACATGAGTGGCCTTGGAAATGGTCAGATGTGATTATTAGCAGCACAAGAAAAGATTCAATCTGGAAAGGTACTGGGTTCTGCCAGACAGATTCTGATAGTCACAATCTCTATCTCTGAAAGATAAAACCAGATTTTTTAGTAAGCAGCCTTTATTGAATATCTTCTCTTACTTCCTCACAAGAAACAAGCAGTTTAAACAGCAGATGCTATCATAAAGCTAGGCGATGCAGAGTAAGCAAACTGTGTCACAGCCAGGAACAAAGACAATCACCAGATTTTTAGGCCTGGTTGCTGTTGGCCATGGTCCCCTCCTGCTCTAGAAAACTGGGGACAAAAAACCCCAAACCAGAATATGAATGCCGAAGAAAGCAAGCACAGAAAAGAGGAAGAAAACATTTCTCTGCACAAGAGCAACAGGAGTACCATTAATAAATTATATATTAAAAAAATCAAATATTAGCTCTTCTGTAGCTTCATGCTCTTGCTACTGTGAGCTGACTGCAGAGTGAAACTTTGAACATGCTAGACTTGCATGATTTTCTTTAGAAGATTAATGTGTTAATGACATTTTAGTGAGCAGAGAATATACTGGAATACATCTTGTATTCTCACAAGTACATACATTAATTTTAACCAGATGCCTATGAACTTATTAACTGTATGGTTCTACTTTACTGTTTCAATAATCATAGTTACTCACCTCTGTAATTGGTTTTCTAGGAATTTTTAGGCCAGATGGAACTCTAGTGCACAGAAGTGACATGGTTTTCCTCTTGGTAAAAGTAAAAAGAAACTAGAGTGGTTTCATTCTAGCCCCAGTGTGGCTGCATGAATCACAGTAGTGAATGCAATGTGGTAATACAGAGTACGACACACTTTTATTCCTCTAAAATAGCCCTTGCTGTTTTTAAACCCAGAAGACTGCTACTCTTTGAGATAGCTGAAGCAGTTTTACCACATAATACAGACTGCATCAGAGGTAACTCACAGAACAAGTGAAGCAGGCTTCCCAGAGGTGTTCTCTGTGGGGCTAATGTTCTCCTGCTGTAGTCACCAAAAATCCTCCTGAATTCTAAAGGAGCAAAGTTTTTGATCAAAGCCTAGCACCTTCTGAAAATCCTTTGGTGTTTTCTGTTTCAGCAATAGTCTGTACTAGCACAGAAATGATAGCATTATTAAAGGTACACGAGGCAGAGGTACCTATCTTACAGCAGCAGCTACAAAGACACTGATGGGTTTTTTTTAGACTAGACTTCCTAGGGATATTTTTTTTTGTGTCCTTCAGGAAGAAGGTTTTGCAGCATCAGAAAAACAAAGATATAAAACAGCAAGAAAGGAAACAGAGTCAGATGATAATCATAAAGCAACTTGCATACGAGACGACAAACTTGATGATACAGACCATGTCGGAAGAGGACAGACAGAAAAATCAGTAAAGAGCTCACTTGCAACAAAACAGAGAAAGACATGATCAACTAGAATTCAATAAATGTACAACTGATGAGGCTTGGGAGCTGAAATTTCAGGTAAATTGCTTATACTAGATCAGTGTAACATTTATTAACCAAATCAAGTTCTGATTTAGGTACTGTGTCTGCGGACTATCTTTATGGATAACTATAATTTTAATAACTGAGAAACTTATTTCTACCCACACTGAATTCCAGCATCCTCATTCTTTACTGCAAGGTACTGTATGAAACTCCTAATTATTTGGACTTAGGAATTCTGGAGAGATCAAGTGAACTAGTATGAGCATTAAGAGCCTGAACAGATGCACAGCAAGTCTAATAAATCTCCAATTTGTCTATAGTTCTTTGGGGTCAGCCAGAGGAATTCAGCATAGCCATTTCTTTTTGTAGAAAGCCAGAAGGAATGGAGAAACAGGCCGACAGCTGAAAATACTTTTTTCAGTATTAAAGCACAAGAGAAAGTAGCCAGAGGGTAAAGAACCTGCTACTGTAGATACAAACAACAAAATGCTGAGAGATCTAGCATTCAAGTCAGTGAATTTTATATTCCTATGAAAATTAATTGAAACCTTAATACCATCAGCTACAAAAAGATTACACTAATTCTGATTGTGAAATCTGATCCTTCAGAAGAGTTAAGAATCCAGGGAGTCATTAGTGTGAGACTCCTCATATTTAAAGTGTATGAACTTGGCCATAATCTGCAGCATGCAATTGCTTGGCAGTACTTTTCCCCTGCAGGGAACAAGAGATAATTCAGGGTATGCTACTACCTACTGAAAAAGGTAGCTAACTGGTGTTTAGCTTAGGTGAAAGCCTCCAAAGAGACAGTGTCAATAGCTTATGTGCCTATACTGAACATCTGACACATATTCAAGCACCTCCCTAAGTTGGGGGGGGCGGTCCTAAATAGTGAATCTAATTTGCATTTTATTTCTTTATCAGAATAATAAAAGTACAGATAGGAGAGATGCACTGTGAGCCAGGTGCTCTAAAATCAGCACCAGCCCACAGAAGCTGATGTACATCCATATTCATACCACATGGATCATGTTTTCTGTGGTCAGGAATATGACATGGTTGTTCTGTCTGAGGATAATATAAAAGAAGCTGCCACCATAAAGATTAAATTATGTATTTTATTACACTGATTGTATCTTTAATTGTTTAAAGCATAAGAACCTAGAATTACAAGCCACATAATTAGATGGAAGGCACACAATGTACAAGTGTCTATAAAATCAGTGTACAAAGTAGGCTGCATATAATTGCATTAAGTAGAAAACAAATATACAAGTCATAAAAATGGAGTCCCAAAGATGAGGATACTATTAAAGTGCTAACAAGAAATATATTCATAGTTCATTATATGCATTAAAACAGCCTCATATTTTATTCCTGTGATTGCCAAGAAACAACAAACATCATAGAACGAAAGTTAAATCAATACTTTGTCCTGCATGGACATCCACCATGTGGGTTTGTTGCACCATGTCTTCTGAGGTTGCTGTGACAGAATAGAAGCCAGGAGAAACTTCAATGTAGATGTCTTCAGAACCTTGTCTGGCCTTTGGAGGCAGGGGGGAAATAAGTTTCATTACTGTTTAGTCACGTAAGATTTCCTACAAAAATACAACTTTTTACTTTGGGGAAAAAAAAAATTACATTTCAGCTGCTATGTAAATGTACTAAGGTTTTTCAGGATATACAGGCAGCATGGACAGAACTGTAAAAGGTTTCTGTCAACACAGAAATTAGCGAGTACCATGCTTAAAGTATTTCATCTAATGTTTCAGTCAGTGGAAATAATCAACATGCTGTAATCTTTGCCCACAAAACTGACAGCTGCCAACCTAAATGTTTTTGCACATAAACCTGGGAACATCCATCCCTACAAGGGTGCTCCCACTAATTTGTACAGTGGTACTGATTGCATGTTTCTCATCTTTTGTGGCTTAGAAGTTCCTGAAATTGATTTGGTGGGGTGTTAGGCTTTGAAAAATCAAGTTTTCCTCTCCTTGAGGAACAGGAGTCTTCAGAGGGACTGTAGGAGGGCCAACTGCAACTGGCTAGGCAATTGCTGTGTGCCCTGCTGTGTGCCTTTCCTCAGCACAGGGAATGTGTCAGAAGCACAAACGAGGTGAGAGTGGAGAACTGTTGGGTTATTTCTGCTGATGCAATTCAGAAAAGCCTAAAGATTAATCATGGTGTTTGACATTCTGCACTAGTCCAGGATATAGAGTCTTAACTGGTTATGTGCCAGAATACCACAATCTGGTTTATAAGTAATTGTGAGAGTCTCTGTATGCCCATTCTATGTATGCCCATCTATACATATGATAGGACTGTGAGTCCACCACTGGTTAATCTTCTTTGCCATCGCAAAGCTTCCGCACCTGATCACAAATTTTAACCAGCTTGATGCAAACTAATAAAAAAAATGCTATAGCTCAATTTAAAACCAAAGTATAGTATGAACTTACACACTGCTGACAAGTTTGAGCTTGACGGGGTGGTACAGAGGCTTCAGTCCTCTGCAAAGAAAAAGATACTGTTTTCTAATGATAAAACATAATAGGCAAATTCAGCCCCTGAGAGAGGAAATGCTTCATGTCCATGAAATTTTCCTCTCCACAGAAGCACTGATATGGCGCTGACTGGTGCCGCCAAAAGTTATTCTGCTTCGCCCGCCCCCCCACCCCCCCCGAAGTTTCAGATCAGTCCAACTGTTCACATGCCCATAATGTCAAACCACGTACAGTGGTGTAAACATCACAGATACTAGATGGATAACAATTGTCCCATGGCAAGGGAAGGAATAACCTTTAATCAAACCCCAAAACACCTACTTACCTTCTCTTCAGAGGACTCCAGCTCTCTTTTCCCTGATTGCCTGGCATGGTATCTGCAGATGTGTCTGATTTCATGCTCTGTGCATCTACAGGTTGTCGTAGAGCTATAATACTTCTGGACAACAACAGAAACAGAGAATATTATGTGGAGAAGCATCAAAGCCATGCTCACAACTACTGCAGATTTACAAATGAAAGTGGAACTGCACAGATACTGACCTTCTGTATTAATTGACTGGTTTGTCCTTGTGTGAGGATGAAAATAATGCCTGGATGTCTACAGGACATCTGTCTTCTGGTACAAAACTGTCAGCCCTGAGTCTGGATGCCTTTCTCCCAACACAATACATAGGGACTCTCTGAAACCTCAGAACTGAGTTCATTAAAATATCAGAAGGAATGCTCAGAAACGTCTACCTGATCAGCATCTTCAAGAAAACCTCTGGTGGAAGAAGGCGTAGTTTATGGGTCTTTAATATTATGTATATGTAAGCTAGGTTCCTTGCATAGGTGCCTAGCCAATGAAGAAATGAAGACTGGTCCTGCAGGGCACATGCAGGAGCACTACTCTAAAAGCAAAACAAGTTAATACTTAAACAGTGCATTGGTGAAGAAGTTAAAGTGTCTTCAAGGCTGGTACCAGTAGTATAGCGGTTTTGTGACTTGTTTTTAAGTCCAGAGCAGCCTGTTTCTGGCTCCACAGTAAAGGTACCCGAATCTTCCCCACTGTGATTTAAATATCCAAGTACAGCTCTGCTGCCATCTGCTGTCACCAGAGAAGTCCTCCCAGGGTTACTTTTTTGATCACAGGGACCAAAAAGTTCCAAAATATCTATTTTATTTCACTTACATTTGCCTTGTCCCTGACTGTCAATACTAAATTTAACAAAAATAAGGCAAATAGCTATTCCTATTTCCAAATCCACTCCTGAGATTCATTCCTTGATGTTACGCACACGTCTACAGATTTGGTTGCTTGCATTGTGGTTTACTGTGAAGCTGTGTCCCAAAACACATCAATACTCTGACCTATTGCATAACGCTCCACAGAGCATTTCTATATCGCAAGAAGCGAGCTGTATTCTTTTACATGATGTCACACAGCAAAGAAATTAATTCAGACTTTTGGGAAGGAGCATGGGTAAACTTTGGTCCCTTAGTAACTCTTAAACAACTCATCTTAAATCACAAATTTAATCATTTGCATTCAAGTGCTTAAATGGTTATATTCAGCTGTGGTTTTTATTTGCACTTTTTAAACTTTACCCATGAACTTGTGGATCTGAGAATTCCCTTCTCCCCCTCTTTACAGCTCTTCTCCACAGAAGATGGCTGAAGCACTCCTGTCTTGGCTGATGCATAGATACAGAAGTCATCCACTGCTTGTTCAACCCTAATACTTCTAACAGGGCATAGGATAAGTCTATATACACTGTTTATATTTTTGTTTCATCTTGTGTAAAACTATTCTGCCCCAATTGTTTTAGGATTAACTGGTTACTGTGTATTTAATGCTTTGAAATTATAAAGTAGTTGCTTAAGACCTAATAGTCTTGGTGTTGAACTACTGTTTTCTCTAATTTAATTGAAGGCTTAGCCTCTGTTATTAACTCTGCAGAAAATGAGGTCTCTGCTGCATTATGATAACGGATCCCAAAGGGCATAGACAGTGATGATGGAGTTTTCAGAGACTTTAATGCAGTAGCTTGGCTGCAGGGCTGCATTCACAAGGACGAGCTCGCAGAGACAAGCTCCCAGTCCATCTGTCCAGAAGAGTTATGACATTCGGCAGACAGACAACATGAAAGCAGTGGTACTGTGCATCTGCATGCCATACCTCTCGTTTCTACTGCGGTAAAGTTTCTACTTATCATAAATAAAGATACAGCGCTGCTCAGAACAGAGCCTGCACTCGTTATCCAATAGCAACATCCCAACCTGAGTTTGCTTAAACAATACGGGGGAGGTTAAAGTTAAGTTCAGAGCAAATGCGTGACATGAAGCAATGTCTTTGCTCGGGATTCAAGCTCTCCAGTACTTCTGCCACCCAAAACACACTGACTCTATTAGCCAGCATGAACAGTTCACATTGGCGTGATGAAAACAAAGGGTTACCCTGTGTAAAGCCACTCCACAGCACAGCTGCAGAGGTCTC